GATCTCCAAGATGCCATCTCTGCGTCCATGACAGCTATCCACTGAGAGGCCCGGAGTCCCGAGGTCGCCTCCGGGTAAGTGCGAGGGGTCAGAATGTTAAAGGCGTTTGGGTCCCCCTCAAGGACCAGTAGCATGGAGCAGAGATGAGGCGCGGCCTCGGACCAGAAAGCAAGCTCATACTGCCGGTCCTCCAGGACATCACTGCCAAGGGCAGGTGCACCCTTGACGGACGAAGGACGGGCAGGGTCAGAGACCAGAGCGGTAACGTAATCAAGGCGGCAGGTAGAGGCGAAGTTAGCGACGGCAGCGACAAGCGCGTCAAGACTCGAGACAGGAACAGACGGGTTGGTAACAAGGGAGGCAAGGACCCCGAGGAACAAGTGGACTAGCGGCATGAAGGAAGTGCGACAACAAGTGACGACGGTGAAGGCAACGGGAGGAGGGGAACGAGGGAGAAAACGAGCCGAAGACGAGTCCGGCGGAGGACACACAGGGCCGTAGACAAGTAGAGGACGCGGCGGGGGGTAGGCGCAGGCGGGCGGTCAAGGGAGGGAAGACCTAGGAGGCGATGGGGGGACACTTGCTGTGACTGCTGCTATTGCGCCATACCGACACTAGAACCTCCAGCTGCACCACGGCTATCTCCGGAACGCTCCACTCTAGCACCCCCAGACAAGAACCCGCTCCAGCACCGGTGCCACCCCCGAGACTGTCGGGACAAGCCACAACCATAACCCCGGGACTAGCAGCCTCCTCAACGCCAGCACCCCCAGAATGTGCGAATCCCTACGGCAGTTGTGGCTGCGGCGGCGGCGGCTACTGCTGCTGCGGCGGCGGCGACGGCGGCTGCTGCGGCGGCGGCAACGGCGGACGAGGAGACATTGTGGCAAAGATAGGTTGCGAAACTGAAGCAATGGGGCCCCCGGAGTCAGCCAACTCCTCCACCGGGACTACCGACGGTAAGGGAGTTACGTGAGATACACCAAACGGGGCAGGACGGGGAGGGAGAGGAGCACGGGCTACCAGGGGAGAGGGAACCAGAAACATGGGAGGGGAAACTTTGGAGACCTCAGTGGGGAAAGCGGTGGTAAAAGGAGACAGGCTCGTCAGCAGTGACGTCACTCGAGTGAAAGAAGTGGTGAGAAGGCGGGTGGTAAAAGTGCCAGGAAGACGAGTCAAGGGGGAAACCAAGGAAGAAACAGGGGACATTGTGGGCCGTGAGCTTGTCCATGCCAGAGGCACGGACGTGAGCGAGGGCAGCGGCTGGGGCAGCAAACGACGTGAGCGCAGTGTGGTTATGAAAGAAGCAGGCGGACGCACCAGAGTTGAGCGTAAATGAGGGCGAGGGTGTAGCGCTAGCTGGCGGAGGGGCTAGCGTCGAACCTAAGCTAAACAAGGCAGGGGGTCTTACGCCTGACGCAGCAGGGGAGCCTAGAATACACACAGGGGACACACCTACTCTAGGCAACACTGGGAAATAGGGTTCAATCACACTAGAGTCATCAACATACATGACAGACATAGCAGTCCTAATCTGATCCATCTCAAGCTCAAAGACAGGCACACGGCAGCAAGCCAGGGCGTGCCAGTCAGGAGGGTCCGAATCGGTGACGGAAGAGGTCGTCCGGGCGGCGGTATGGCCAGAATGGTCGCAGACGGTGCCGTGGCGAGGGCCAGTCTGAAGCTGGTACTGACAGGTGACTGCACTTGAGTCGCCACCCGACACCAAGCTGCGCCCCCACCACCACGACCACCACAACCAGCGCCGCCAGTCCACCACGGCGACTGCTGCTGCGGCTGTTGCAGGTGCTGCTGAGTCTGCTGCGACTGCAGCTGCTGAGGCTGCAGCTGCTGTTGCTGGTGCTCCAGGGCACCAGCCCCGGTCCCCTCGGCCGAACCACCGTCCCCGCCTCCACCTCCTCCACCCTCCCCACCCCCACCCCCCTTCCCTCCGCCATGCCCCCCCTTGGGGCGGCGGCCCCGACTCAGACGCAGCTACACTGAGGCCGCAGCGGCGGTCTCAACAACAGCGGCAGAGACGTCAAGTAAGAGCAATGGGAGGGAGCACAGCTCTGAAAGATACACAATATGTTTGACAAGGATGTCTCTGGTTGTGGGGACTTCTCTTAAATGTCTAGGTTGCGAGGGGTGTGGGAGGAATGCCTCTGCGTTGGAGGACTTAGCCGAAATTCCTTAGAAGGGGGGACTGTGGGAGTGGTGTCTCGAAATGTTAGCAAAAAATATGTGCCCGCAAAAGTAAAAGCTGAGCATCCTTGGAGCGGCTGCAGCTCTTGCATAACTGGAGCCATCGATACTCATACCACTAAAGGCCGCAATTGATCAGTAACAACAGCAAAATCAACAGCAACAACAGCAACAGCAACAACAGTTTCCGCATGAGCAGATTTCTTTTACTGAAATATACAACAGCTTATACAGTTCTTGTCCGCAATCTGTCGCTGAAAGAGCAACTCGGTATACGCTCGCTTCACACCAGCTTAACTCTAGCCGAATTTGCGTGGAAGCGTTTGAAGGGGCTGTACATGGCACAGGACACCATTTCCATGAGTAAAATTCTCTCACAACTGACAACTGTACAGATACAGGGCAACGAGAACGTTTTGGATTATATCAACAGGGCTCGTACACTTCGTGACCAACTGAAAAAATGCGGCCAATACTTCCCAAAGGACATGTTTGTAACAGTTCTTCCTGTCGGCCTTGGAGCAGAATTGCAGCAGTGTCGATCTCTTCTTCGCATTCAACCATTTTTTTTCCGAAGCCAAAATTTGTTCGATTCTTCTAGCTGAGCACCTGGACCTTGACCTGCAAACATCACGTAACAAAAAAGGAGCAGTTAATATCAGTTTCTATTCAACGCCTGCAAAACGTGTCAACAAGTTCTTCTGTCACTATTGCAAAAAGGAAGGACACAGCATCAAATATTGCAACAAGCTTCAGGCTGATAAGAAAAGAGGAGCGCAGCAGCAGACGCAGTAGTTCAAGCAACCCGTGAAGAAGAATCCACCAACAACTCCTGCCACATCCGGAAAACAAGTCTTCAGTTGTGTTACAACAGTTCATGCAACAGATTCAGATTTCGACGATGAGGAGGAAGAAAGTTCCATCGAGCAACCTAAGAACATGATCTTACCTCAGGTTTATGCTAATCTCGCTCGGGTTATTGCAGGACCAAACACTTGGTATCTTGACAGTTGTTGTGGTCAACACATGTGCTCTGTCGAGACGCTCTTCATCACTCATCAGCGTCCTCTTCGACGTCCTCTACCTGTCACGGTTGCAAACTGACAAACAATCATGGCAAGATCTATCGGCAGCGTCATGCTGGATTCTGTTGACACTGGTTTTTCCTTACATGTTACGAACATCCTTATCATCGCTGGACTCAGATTTAATCTTCTTTCACAGGCTCAACTCCTGCGACATATGATCAGGACACAAGGCAATTGTGAGACCATGGACCAGGAACTTTACCACAACGATACCAATACTTACATCAGGAGAGCTGCCACTCAGTATGGCGTCTCCGTTTTCAATTCGAGTCGCAAGGCACTTCTGGAGATTCTGACAGAGTGTTATCTCTTGGACCTTGGCAACATCCTGAAGAGACTGGTTTTCAAAAGGTTGAAATCGACTTCCGTGCAACTGCAGTTCCAACGGGATCTCGTACAGCCGCAGGGGTTATAACGGCTCTTGATTCCTGGCCAACAAACACATCATCATGGCGGAACTATTATGACACTTTACAACAACTCAACAACAAACCTGAAGTACCTTGGGGACCCAGCAGCTACAGCAGTGAAGCAGAGGAAGCCGAGCAGCAAAGTAGCAGTGAAGCAGAAACAGGGGTTCTTATCGGTCAACCTGCAGCAGATACAACAGAAATCGAAGAAGGAGAATTAGTTAGGAGAGGTGATCACGGGGCGAGGTGGGGTGGGGGGGAATAACAGACAAGACAACACAATGCACATGCTTGTGAAAGACGTACCTCCCGCTGCTGGAAGACCTTGTTGAGGATGTTGAGCTGCTCAAGCACATCAGCCAGAAAGTGCAGAAAGAACCTGAAACGATAGCTCCAAACATTGGCCAGCAACTTTGCGTTCCTAAGCTACGTGACCATGACCAACACAGCTGGTAGCACAGCAAGAAGACGGAGGATCGCCTCACCGCGAGAGAGCCATCGGATGGCGTGGATCCCCTGCACTTCTAGGTTGGTGTCATTGAACGGGAGCACCGGCTCAGAGGGGAGCCAAAGCCGGCGCCGGCTCAGAGGGGAGCCAAGGCCGGCGGGTCAGGGCGGCAGGGCGGCTCGGCGGCTCAGCGACACGGCGGCACTGCAGCTCGGCGGTTCGGCGACACGGCGGCGCGGCTCGGCAGGAGCTAGGGCCGGCGCGGGCAGGGGCCGGCAAAGCTGGGGTCGGCGCAGCTGGGGATGCGCAGCTGGGGTCGGCGTGAGCGCGGGGCCGGTACGAGGGGGGCCGGCGAGCAGGGGGGCGGCAAGCGAGGGGCCGGCGAGCTAGGGGCCGGCGAGCATGGGGTCGGCGAGCCCGGGGCCAGCGAGTCAAGGGCCGGCGAGCAAGGGGCTGGCACGCTAGGGCCGGCGAGCAGCGGGGCCAGCGGGCGAGCGCGGGGCCAGTGGGCGAGCAGGGGCTGGCGAGCTAGGGCCGACGGGCGGCCAGCAGCGGTGAGCGGCGAGCGGCTAGCAGAGGCGGCTAGCGATGGGTGGTTAGGAACGGGCGGCTAGCGACGGGCGGCTAGGGCTAGGGCTAGGACTAGGGCGGAAGCGTGGGTGGGCGGGGAGGACCTGACCTAGAATGATACCATCTCAGAGTAACGAATTGAACTAGAATGTGAGATATAGGGTGGTTTTGTGCTGAGGGGTTGTACTCTCTAAGAGCACGCACCTATCTAGCCTATAATAACATATACATATATGTGTATTGGCATTGCAAAATAACAATCAGAGACATAATAAAAGAGTGTGTACACCTTTTCCACACAAATTAATCAGCATATATCAATGTACTCTCATAAAATCAGAAAGGATCTGATTTCATCGAGACAGATACTGTAGGCCTTGTAGGCTTGTACTGTCATAAATACTACCTAGACTGGGAAAGAATGCGACTCCCTAAGTCCGCCACCCTTCTTCAATTCCTGGTCTACCCTGTGCCTACACTCTCAGGGTTGGAATATCCCAACCCAAATTTTACAAGCATCACTCATTTCCCCTCCCGAAATCAGTGGCGACTGCCAATCACTCTTGAGGCGCCTCAAAAGTCACCTCTCCCACAATCGACACAGTTTCGTCACCTGCTCCACTGTTTCATCTCAGCTCTACAGTATCATCTCAGCATGGACAGTCTCACTCGCTTGGTAGGCGAATCATCCTCCGCCTCCCCCTCCCTATCAGGTCCCCCCTCCTCTCCACACTCCCACTTCCACCTCGCCCTACACCCTTCCCTGCACTCCCCTCACCAGCCACGGGACTCCCACTGCTCCTTCTCCCATCACCCATACCGCCCCTCCTCACCCCTGCTCCCACTGCTGCTGCTGCTGCTGCTGCTCCCCCTCCTGCTGCTGGTGATGATCCTGCAGCTGATTCACCCTCACTCTCAAACACGGCGTTTTCCTCCCTGTTATCCGGCCCCTCTGCCGGCCGCCTGGCCCGGCGCATGTGCTTTTCCGAGCTTGCTTTCTGGAGGGCATTGGCTGGGATGATGTTTTGGGAGGGCGACGGGGAGAGAGATGCGCATCTCACCATTTCTAAATCGCCACTACCATGCTCTTGCTCCTGCGCCTGCTCTTGCTCCTCCTGCTTCCGGTCTTTCTTCGGTGTCTTCTCTTCCTGCCCCTTCGCCTGCACCTCCGTCTGCTCTTCCTCTTGCTGCATTCTGTTCTTCCCCTCACTCACCCCCATCTTCCCCTCCTCCTCCTGCTTCTCCTCCTGCTTCTCCTCCTGCTTCTCCTCCTGCCTTCCCTCCATGCTCCCTCCCTTCCCGCCTCCCCCACCCTCCAGAGCTGCCAACGTTCGCAACAACCCCCCACCCAAACCCTGCTGATTCCTCCTCCAAGGGGAGCTTCCAGGAACCTTCTCAGCCACCCGGCGCCTCCAAGGGGATTTCCCCCCAGCAGCCGAACCCACAGGTGACTTGGCTTGGGCGCTGAAAGGGGTTGGGGACTTGGTTTGAGCGACAAAAGCACCAAAAGCAACAGGAGACCTGTCTCCCAACCGCCCACCAGCCATATCCCTCCGCTCCATAGCAGCAGCTGCAGCTGCCACAGCTAAGGGGTTTGCTGTAACAGCCTTAGCGGGTGTTTGGAAGAGGGCTGAAGAGGCGGTGGGAAGGCGGTCTGCATGCTGCTGCTGCTGCTGCTTCTCCAGCTTGGAACGTAGCTCGGTTTTCTCCCTGCGGGGAGACAAAGATAGGGACAGGGGAGGCATAAGGCGTAGTTTGGGAATGTGGTGCTCAGACTTCTCTCTTTGTGGAAGAATGAAGTATGGTCATCATCAAACACATGCACATGGGCAGTCCCCTTCCCCATACAAACATGGAAGTGGAACAAAATCGTGCACAAACACATGCTTACACATAAACAACTCCCTCCCCGTCCAGAGACGCTGTACCATTATAAGCAAATCCAGGAACTCACCTTTCAAGAGCCAGAACCTTGTCTTGAAGCAAAGCCATCTCTGCTGCCTCTTCACTGTATCCCCCAACCTCCCTTCCTGCTCCAAACCCCCTAGCACCACCAGCACCACCATTATCACCACCATCAGCAGCAGCAGCAGCGGCAGCAGCTGCTGCCAGCCTATCCATAGCGTCATGTAGCTCCTCCTCTCGCTCACTCAGCTTCCTCCTGTACTTGGCTAACGCCTCCTCAGCCCGCACCTTCTGCGCCCTCTCACTCTCCCACTCCATCTCCGCCACTCTCAGCTTGGCCCTCAGCCCCTTAACCTCCTCTCGAAGCCTACCTACCTCGCCCTCCCACCCTCCCTGCCCTGCTGCTCCCACCCCTCCTCCTCCCATCCCATACCCCTCTCCTCTTCCTCCTCCTCCTCCTCTCCTCTCCTTTTCCCTCGCCGCCTCAACACCCTCCAGCTTCTCCCGTAACGTCCTCACTTCGTCGCGTAACCGCTTTAGGGTTACCTCGTTTTCGTCATTGAGGCTCACAGCATCGGTCAGCAGTCTGCTATTCAGCTCCAGCTCTTCCCTGCGGGACTTGGCCTCCCGCCTCGCTGCGGCTTCAAACTCCTTCCACCGCTCCACTGCCTTCTCCAGCTGCTTGGCTCGGATCTCCCATATGCGCCCCTCCTCCCCAATGCTCCACGCACCAGCACCAGCACCAGCAGCAGCACAAGCAGCACTGGCAGCACCACTGCAAGCAGCACATAGAGCAGCAGCAGCAGCAGCAACACCAGGAGCAGGACTACCAGGGGCGGTGCCAGGGTCCATAGCTGCTGCTTCCACGGCCTCCCTCCTCTCCCTTTCCCTCCTGACCATTTCCTGAAGCTCCTCCTCCTTCCTTCCCAATTCCTTCTTCACTTCACTCAACTCCCCCTCCAGCTCCCTCACTCGCCCCTCACCCTCCCTCACTCTCTCCTCCTCCTCGTCCCCCTTCCTCCCCATCTCTCTCTTCACTTCACTCAACTCCCTCTCCAAGTCATCCACTCGCCTCTCAGCCTCCCTAACCCTCTCCTCCGCCGCCCTCGCTCTCTCCTCCTCTTGCTCCCCGTTGCCCTCCATTTTCCCCTTAAAGCTGTCCAGCTCGTTTTCCAGCTCACCCACTCGCCTCTCAGCCTCTCTCTGGAGTCCCTCAGCCTCCCTCACTCTCTCCCTACCCTCCTCCACCTCCCCCCTCAACCCCTCCTCTCTCTTCCTCCCCTCCTCCACCTCCCTCCTCCCCTCTTCCACCTCAAACAACAACCGCTGCACCGCCTCCCTTGCCTCCAAGAGCTCCCTCTCCGCTTCTCCTAACCTCTCCTCCACCTCCTTTCCTCTCATTTCTACCACTTGAGCAGCATTCCTCCCTTCGAGCCCCTCCTCTTGCTGCCCCTGCCCCTGCCCCTGCCCCTGCCCCTGCCCCTGCCCCTGCCCTTGATCCGGCATCATTCCTGCCAAATCTCCCGACCCGTCTCCCGTTGCCTCCTGTACGTGCTCAACCTCCCTTCCAAGACCACCCACCCCTCCTCCTCCTCCTTCTCCTCCTCCTCCCCGCACCTGCGCCCTCAGCGCCGCCATTTCCATCTCCATCTGTTTGATCTGCTGCGCCCGCGCCCACCGCTTCTTGTTGGCCTCCTGCAGCGCTGCTGCCAGCCGTTCCAGGTCCCTCTCCTTCTCCTCCAGCGCGTGCTCCACAACAGACAGCCGGTCCTGCAGTTCAACCAGCTCCTTTTCCTTCTCAACCAGTTTCTGTGCAATTGAAAGGGGTGGGGAGCACAGGATGACAGGAGTAAGATACAGTGCACCAGCTGTTCCAGGTCCCTCTCCCTCTCCTCCAGCGCGTGATCCACAAGAGACAGCGGGTCCTGGAGCTCAGTTAGTTCCTTTTCCCTCTCCACCAGTTTCTGTGCGGTTGGCAGGGAGGGGGAAAGGGGGGAAAATTTCGTGCAGCGCTGCTGCCAGCCGTTCCAGGTCCCTCTCCCTCTCCTCCAACGCGTGCCCCACTACAGATAGCCGGTCCTGGAGCTCTGTCAGTCCCCTTTCCCTCTCCACCAGTTTCTGTGCGGTTGGACAGCAGGGGGGAGGTTGGTGAGTCTAGTCATGAGGCGTGGGTTGACGCTGCTTGAGTCGTCAGGAGCGTCTCAGTCAATCAGCTGCCAAAACAATCAAACACCTCTCAGACGGCCCATTCCGTCTAGCAGCTGACACGTCATCATCGCTCACGCTCTTGACGGTCGACAGCTCCCCTGCCCAGTCAGACGCCGATAGGTTGGTCTCGTTCATGCTGGCACCAGAATGCCATGCCAACTGTCACACCGCTCTCATCGGGGCAACTCACTGTCAACCAGCTACTCAGACTCACCCCCTTCACAGTCGACAGCTCCCCTGCCAGCCGCTGCACGGCCCAGTCAGACGCCGACAGGTTCGTCTTGTTCGTGCTCTTGCAGAGTGCCATTCCAGCTGTCACACAGCTCTCATCCACACAACTCACAGTCAACCGGCTAGTCACACTCACCCGCTTCACGGTCGACAGCTCCCCAGCGAGCTGCTGCACAGCCCAGTCAGACGCCGACAGGTTCGTCTCATTCATGCTGTCAAGTGAGGTAGGTGTTCCCATTCCCCCTGTTAGACGTCCAAGTCAACCAGCCAGACATTCGTGCTGGCAGGCGCACAGCTCTCGATCAGACAACTCACGGACAACTCGCTACTCACCCGCTTCACGGTCGACAGCTCCCCTGCGAGCTGCTGCACGGCCCAGTCAGACGCCGACAGGTTCGTCTCGTTCATGCTGAGCGCCTCCTCCGCCTCCCGCAGCTGCTCCTTGAGCTCCTCCACCTGGTGGATGGGGAATGGTCGGGGGAGGATGGGAGAGGAGAAGGGGATTTGTCGACTGGAGAGTTTCGTCCGTGCTCAGCGCCTCTTCCGCCTCCCGCAGCTGCTCCTTGAGCTCCTCCACCTGTTGGATGGGGAATGATCGGGGGAGGATGGGAGAGGAGAAGGGGATTTGTCAACTGGAGAGTTTCGTCCGTGCTCAGCGCCTCTTCCGCCTCCCGCAGCTGCTCCTTGAGCTCCTCCACCTGTTTGATACAAAAGGGGGGGGGGGAGGAGGAGGGAAGGAAGATGGTGAGGGAAACGAGGGTTGGCTCGAAACAAGATCACGGGTTGACTCAGAAGTATCCTTCATATACTGCTGCTCACCAGCTCAATCATTTCCCTTGCATCTTGCCCATTCTCCTGCCCCTGCTGCTGCTGCTGCGGCTGCTGCTGCCCCTGCCCCTGCCCCTCCCCCTGCTGCCTCAGCCCCTCTATTTCCCCCTGAAGCGTCTCCACCTCGCCTTGAAGCGCCTCTACCTCTCTCTGTAGCTCATCCACTAAGTCCCTCGCCGCGCTTGCCTTCCCCTCCGCCTCCTCTGCTGCCTCTCTCGCCGCGCACACCTCCTCCTCCCACAGCCTCCTCTCCTCCTCCCTCCTCCCCTTCGCCTCCTCCATCCTCTCCCTTTCCTCCTCCACCCTCACTCTCTCCTCCTCCCTCTCCTTCCTCTCCCTCTCCCTCCCTTCCCTCTCTGCCTCCAATTTGCCCTCCGCCTCCCTAACCTCTCCCCTCAAACCCTCAATTCTCTCCTCCATCTCTTTTTCCGCCCTTTTCTTTTCATCCCTAATCCCCGCCATCGCAGCCACCACATCATCTCTCGCCCCCTCTAGCAGCCTCACCTGCACCTCCCGTGCCTCTGCTTCCTCCCTCAACTGCTCACACTCCCTCTGAACCGCCTCCCGCTCCTCCCTCATCACCCCCATCATCCTCTCCACCTCTCCCAACTCCTTCTTCCACTCCTCAGTCGCAACCACTGCAGCCTCACTCACTTCCCGTAACTTCCGCTCCTTCTCCTCCCTCACCTCCTTCTCAGTAGCTAACTCCCTCACTTTCGTGGAAAGTTCCATCCTCAAACGCGCGTACTCCCCTTCTACAGTCTCCAGTCGCCTCCTCACCTCACCTTCCCCTACCACCTGTCCTCTCACTCCCTCCAGCTCTTCCTGAAGCCTCTCCACCTCTCCCGACAACGCTTGGACCTCTCTCTCCCTCTCCTCCTCCCCCCTCCTCTTCTCCTCTTCCATCTCAGCCACTCTACCCTCCACCTCCCCTCTCCCCTTCTCCGCCTCTTCCACTTTCTCCAGCATTTTCTCAATCTCTCTCTCCAACCCCTCCCTCTCCTCTCTGCCCTCCTGCACCTCCTCCTCTTTCCTCCTCAGTGCCAATTCCACACACACCACTCGCTCCCTCTCCTTCTCCACCTTTATCTCAAGCCCTCTGATCTGCTCCTCCAACCTCTCGACCTGAGCATCCCTCTCCTGAGAAATCTCCTGAGAAATCTTCTCAGCAATCTCCTCCTTTTCTGCCTCTGCCCGCCTCACAGCCTCCCTCCCCTGCTCCACCTGCTGTTGAAACGCATCTATCCCTCTCTCCTTCTCCTCTATTTCCCTTCCCTTCGCCTCTATCTCCCTCTCTTTCGCCTCCACCTCCTGTCTCGCTACTAGCAGCTCCTCCTTCACATCTACCAGCTCCCTCTGCACCACATTCAACTCCTGCTTTATCAACTCCGCCTCCTCTTCCACCGCTTCTCGCCCCTCCACAGCCTTCTCTACTTCCTCCCTCAGTTCTTGCATTCGCCTTTCCACCTCCTCCTCCCTCTCCCTCTCGGCCCTCCTCCCCTCCTCCATCGCCCTCCGCACCTCCTCACACTCTCTCTGCGCCTCCCCCACCGCCTCCTCCGCCTCCCTCACTCTGTCCCTCACTCCTTCCCTCTCCCTCTCCAACTCCCCCTCTATCTCCCTATTCCTCTCGATCAACCCCTGCACCTCTAGCTTAAGCCCCTCCCTTGACTTCTCAATAGCATCCACCAGGGCTTCGCTCTCAGAGCACGCCTCTAGAGCCTCTTCTAGTCGCCTCCTCATCTCCTCCCTCTCCTCCTCTGCCCTCTTCAGCCTTTCCCTAACTCCCATCCCAGTATTCCCCTCTCCCCCCTCCCCTCTCTCCCCTCCCTCATTACCCTCCTCTCCCTCCAACTCTCCCAATTTCCGCACCAGCTCCTCCTTCTCCCTCTCCCACACTCTCATCCTCGTTTCAAGCTGCTCCACTGCAAGCCTACGCGCCTCTTCCGCCCCATCGGCCCTCATCTCACTCTCTCTTGCCATCTCCCTCCACCTTCCACACTCCTCTTCTACCTGCCGCAGCTGCTCCCCCTGCTCCATATGCGCTTCTGCTGCGTGGCTCAGCGCCTTGCTCTTCTGCTCCTGCTCCGATATACACTGCTCCGCTGCTGCCAAGCGCCCCCTCGCCTCGTCAGCCACTCTCCTGAACGACTGCCGAAACACCTGAAGATCCTCCTGGCTCAGCCGCCCCGTCAGGTGTTTCACCTGGAGATCGTGGGAAAAGAAAGAGAGGAAATAAGTCAAGGGTTGCAGAACCACCTGAAGATCCTCCTGGCTCAGCTGTCCTGGAGAAAAGGGGGTCAAAGCCTGCTGAAGCACCTGAAAGGTTTGCTGAATCAACTGATAGGCCTGCTGAAGCCCCTGGTAATTGTATCAGCAGAGCGGCAGTACTCTACTTGCCATCTGCACACGTCTAAATCCCACCCACCTGTACTCCGACAACCCACTCTTAATTCACCCACATCTGCCAACCTTTCCCTCGCACCCACGTCTAAGTCCCACCCACCTGTACCTTCAGCTCCGCATTCAAAGCCTGCGCCACCTCGGCCTCCTCTGCTTCTTCTCCGGCACCTGCCTCTCTCCCGACCCAAAGCCTCTCCCATCTACCTGCAAATCTCCCTGCCACCTTCCCACGCCCACAAGCCTGCAAACCCCTCCTTTACCTCCCATTCCCACGCACCTGTTCCTTCAGTTCCTCATTTACTGCCTCCGCCACCTCCACCTCCTGCTTCTTCTCCAGCAGTTGCCTCTCCACCCGAGCCAGAGCCTCCTTCAGGTCCGAGCCTGCCGAGCCTGGGTCGCAGCCCTGGGCCATGGCAGCCTTGAGCCGCCGCCTCAGCTTGCTATTCTCTGCCGGGGTGGATCAGGAGGAAAGGAAAGGCTCGCCGGGGGGTAAGGGGAAGGGCAGCTCGAAATAAAAATCTGGTGAAGGCTGGTCAGGTTTACGACAAAACGCAACGCACAGGACATTGTTCGCTGCTAAGAATCACCAAGGCCAAAGGCTAGGTATGCCATCCGTCCTGTCCCTCACCTTCCTTGGCCGAGATCAGCTTCTGTGAAAACTGCTTGCACTCCAGCCCCTTCTGGCTCAGCAGCGCTGTCAGCCCGTCCACCCGTGCTGTGCTTTTACCAGGTCTACACCCTTGTCCCTCACCTTCCGTGGCCGAAATCAGCTTTTGTGAAAACTCCTTGCACTCCAGCCCCTTCTGGCTCAGCAGCGTTGTCAGATCATCTACCCTTCCTGTGCTCCAAACAGGTTTTGCATTGAACACTCTCTCACCTTCCTTAGCCGAGATCAGCTTCTGTGAAAACTCCTTGCACTCCAGCCCCTTCTGGCTCAGCAGCGCTGTCAGCTCATCTACCCGCTTGCCTTGGTCCTCCAGCCTGGCACACGGCAAAGATAATCGAGGTGATTGAATGAAAAGAGGCAATAGAGGCAAAGTTCAGCACAATCCTGTCCGCCCATCCACCCGCTTTCCCTGATCCTCCAGCCTGGCACACAACCGAGATATCGTTGAACAAACAGAACCCGTGAGCACAATGCATAGGCACCTGGTAGCAGGCAGGCGGCCTCGAAACGCTGGCATGGCGGTTTGAAATCCTGAACTCAGAACTCTAACTGCCACTCACATTGCCTGCAGCCGGTTCTGTCCGTCCATGGCCGCTTGGTACTCCTCCCCCAACCGTCGTTGAATCTCCACGCTTTTCCGCTCCTCCTCGCGCACAGCCTGCACAGCGACGTAAGATGGGCAGCAGATACGGGGTTACTACGATCCATACCGCCGATTCTTCAACCGAACGACCGAACTAAACGACCAATCTGAACGACCGAACCGAACGACCGAACTGAACGACCGAACCGAACGACCGAACTGAACGACCGAACTGAACGACCGAACTGAACGACCGGACGTACTCGGTAGAGACGCGGCCATGGAACTTATGCTCGTTGCTCGTGCCTTTTCCATGCGGTGCGTGGCCTCTTGTACCTCCCGCTCCTGCGCCTGCACCTGCTCCTCCAACTCGCCCACTCTCCCTCAAACCTCTCATCTGCTCCATGCATGCCTCTGCTCTCCTCCCTGCCCCATGTCCCACCTGCCCCTTGCCTTACCTTTTCCATGCGGTAAGTTGCTTCCTGTAGCTCCCTCTCCTGCGCCTGCAACTGCTCCTCCAACTCGCCCACTCTCCCTCGCAACGCGTGCGAGTCCCTGTCCGCCTTGCGCACCTGCTCCTGCAGCCGCACCCTCTCGCGCTCCATGGACGCCTTCTCCTGAGGAATTACAAGACAGTGAAGGCAGGAGCAGGGGGCGTGAGCGACGAGCCAATGAGACAGAGCGTGTTGGTCCCTGTCCGCTTTGCGCACCTGCTCCTGCAGCCGCACCCTCTCCCGCTCCATCGACGCCTTCTCCTGGGGAATCACAAGGCAGGAGAAGAGGCTTTGACCAATGAGCCAGATGAGAGTGTGCGACTCCCTGTCCGCAATGTGCACCTGCTCCTGCAGCCGCACCCTCTCCCGCTCCATTGATGCCTTCTCCTGACAATGGCAACGCAAACAGTGACGGCCGGAGCATGCATTGGAGCGACGAGGACCACGGGGAGACCAAAGAGTCGGCTCAAAAGTCTCCCGGGGAGTAACAACGCGGAAAGTCATGGCCGGGGCGGGCATTAGAGCGATGATTTAACGGGGTGACCAAAGATTCGACTCAAAAGTCTCCCGGGGAGTAACAACGCAAATAGAGTCATGGCCGGGGCGGGCATTAGAGCGATGAGATAACGGGAGCGTGCGAGTCTCTGTCCGCTTTGTGAAGCTAACCTTGCAGCCGCACCTTCTCTCTCGCTCCATCGGCGCCCTCTCCTACGGACCCAACAGTTAGCAACATGTGTTGGCAGGAATCAGGCGATGACAGGTAATGACAGGTGACAGGTGACGTGTGACAGGTGACATGTGACATGTGACAGGTGATGACAGGTAATGACAGGTGACAGGTGACAGGTGACATGTGACAGGTGACAGGTGAGAGGTGACATGTGACATGTGACAGGTGACAGGTGAGAGGTGACATGTGACATGTGACAGGTGACAGGTGATGACAGGTAATTCTTCACTCTGATGGTTGAGTCACGACGGACAATACTTTTCAGAACTGTCGAAAAAAAATTAGCAGATGAAACATGGAGGTTTCTTCTCTAGAATTGGCTTACTTTGGTTCTGACGGTTGAGTCTTGATGAAGCTGCTTCACCGTGTCGGCTAGCCGCTTGAAGTCCTGCAAAGAAGACGGTGAATCAAGATGAACAAATTAATGTTTGTGATATCGGATTGTGAAATGCTGGCGTGAAATTGTAGAGGACAACCCGGAGGAAGGAGGAAGCGGTAACGGAAAGCGGGAGCAACGAAGCCGGAGAGAAGAGGTGGGAGGGAACGAAGGAGGCCGACGGGAAGGAGGTTCTTACCAGCGTCATGGAATGTTTGTCGGTCCTCTCATTCTCCAGCTCCTGAAACAACAGCGCCACATGTGGCAAGCAGTCAGTGCAATGGGAAGGTCGCAATCTCTTTCAGTAATCAACGTCGTAATTTCTTTAGAAAATTAAAGAAAAAGCCGCTGCACGCTGAACGCTGATCAATAATCTTCTGATCAATAATCTTCTGAACGCTGTTCATTCACTGTTCTAAACAGGCTGTTTTGCTTTCCAAGTAGAATCGCTATTTTTGGAACGCTGATTTGTCACCTGGTCACAATCTCGCGAGGATCCGGTTGCACCTTTCGAAGAGATGCGATGGCCTTCTGATCCGGTTGCACCTTTCCCATCTCTGGCTTGACGTTTGAGTCGACTCGCAAGTCACCTGGTCACAATCTCGCGAGGATCCGGTCGTACCTTTCTAAGGGAATCGATGGCCTTCTGAAGGCCGTCGATCTCTGATTGGACTTTTGAGTCGACTCGCAAGTCACCTGGTCACACTCTCGCAGTCAGAAAGGATTCGGTCGTACCTTTCTAAGGGAATCGATGGCCTTCTGAAGGCCGTCGATCTCGCCATCCTTCTCCTTGATCGTCGCGAGCAGATGCTTCGACTTGTGCTCCGAGGAAAACCAGCCCGCCCGCTGCGCCATGCTCGCGTGCTTCGATCAATCAGCAGACGACTAAGCAGCCGAACCAATTCGGCTAGATGGCAGAAAATCAGAGCATGGCGTACCGACAAAACTAAGGCACCACAACTGGCTACTGTTGGCCGAAGTAGCGGAACCCGAACCCAGGCTCCGTTGTGTGTAGTAGCCTACTGAGGGTCCTTCACAAGTGGTTTTCCTTGAATTAGCCTATCTCGTAGTTCTACGTGGGAGTCGTAGGAGATTGTCAACGGAAATTTATTTACGATTTCTATTCGGCTTTCACACGACTCGCTGCATCAGACAGCCAGACCTCAGCGAGCTATCTGAATCAAAATGAGTTATGCACACGCCAGGCTGACTCCTGAATTCGTCACAACCGTCGATTCAAACCTCGGGAATCCCAGTTCCTTTCTTCGTGAAGGACGAACCGGAGAGCCGAGGTGAACTAAGGAGTAGCTGAGCTGAATCGGCCTGACGAGTTGCAGGAAGCGTGCTCGAGGTCGTCTTACAAGCTGATAAGAGAGGGCATCTCCGCGAAATGCTTCCTGAGAGCAGTGATCACGTCACCTTGGGAATCGGTCTCCGTGATTTCGGCACGCAACTGATGGGGAACCACAGTCCACGAACAGCACATCACTTTTTCTTACATCACTCACGCAAATGAAGCTCATTCGCTCCTCTCAGGGATTGCCGCTGCTTTCAGCGAAATTCTCCATAAAGGCTTCGAGATACAAGATTTTCCAACCAGACCTCGAGCTTTCTTTTTTCCGGGGATTTCGAGATGCCTTATGAATTTCCCCCAGGGATTGCCGCAGAGTTTGCCGCCATTTTCAAATTTGTTGCTGCCCCCGTCCATTACCGCAGGCTGTGCTTCGAATGTTTGCATTCTGCCCGACGGGTGTGAGGCTGCACGCTGATGGGTCAGAGAATCTACTGGCAGGTGCCAGACTTGAGATTTCCCGCGCTGATTTGAAAAGGTCTGCCGAGCCGCGCGTCAGAAAGTCCTCCTTACCAAATATCCAATATAAACAACCCCCATACTCCACAGACGAAGTTTTAGCATTGTGTACAAACGTTTGCTGTCTCAAACGTAAAAACTCTATCCTTGCCTCCAAATTTCATCTCATGAGGAACACAATCAAAAACAATAAAAACTGAAGCTGGCTTCACAGCTGATACTAGTCGAATGCAGAGGCGCCTTTTTTGTAAGGGCTACGCTATGAAATTTTACACCCCCTTCCCTCTCCCCACACACACACCCTCTTTCCCAACAGACGACTCTCCGCTCCGACTCTCTTAGTTGCGAAGCACTTAGCAGCGAGGATGCCATCGGGAGACGATGACACGTGGCACGACGACCGCCCGTCGCCAATCAGCCCCGCGACAGCGCGCACTCCTCGCCGCGGGTTACCACGCCCTCGTGCGATACTCTTCGTTCTCTTCGCCATCCTCGTCGCAGGCTGCCTCACCGCCGTGCAAATCGGTGGGTTCTTATTCCAGTGCTGATAGCCGTCGCATAAGAACAGTATGTACGCGCTACTAGGCGCTTTATTCCAGTGCTGATCGATGGGTTGCGTTCGCGATTGCTTCTCTCGCATTTGCGCCTTCCGCGATTGCGCCTTCCGCGATTGCGCCTTTCGCGATGGCGCCTTTCGCGCTTGCGCCTCTCGCGATTGCGCCTCTTGCCCTCGCCTTAGGTGTCTTCCGCTGCATTCCGCTGCGCCCTCTCCCGCGCGCGCCCTTCCCCATCCCCCCGCTACAGTGACATGGGCGTTCGCCAAATTGACTTCGGTCGAGGCGATTTGTGCACACATTATTCCCAAATTTCCTATCCCCTCCCCCCCCTCCCCCTCCCCTCTCCCCTCCCCAGTCACATGGGCGTTTAGCCCGGGACGAGGGGTGGAGGCGGAGTTGAGCCACGTCAGCAGCATGCACAGCCCCGGTGCCGTGGCTACTGCCGTAGCTGCCGCTGCTGAGGCTCGGAAACATGCTGCTGCTGCCGCCGCCGCCGCTGCTGCTGCTGCTGCTGCTGCTGCTGACTCTGTTGGTTCTGCTGCTAATAATGCTTCTAATGGCTCTGCTACCGGTGCTGCTGCTGCTGGCACTGCTGCTGCTAGTGGTGATGCTAGTGACACGAACGAGAGTGATTATGGTGACGGGGCCATCGAGTCAGCAGATAAAATTACCACTTTAGATCGAGACATTTACTATTCCGACCTGCAAATACTCCATCTCAACTACGGTCTGCGCCAAAAAACCTCTCTCCTCTCCCTCAACTGCTTCGGCAAACCCTGCCCGGACTTCTCAGGCAGCTGCGGAAAACTTTTCCCCAACATTTCAGCCTGCTGGAACGAGGGATTAGTGGACGAGGGGTATGTTAAGCCGCCCACTCCGGTCAACTGCCCGAAAATAGATAATGTGAAGGACCTCAGGCCGGAGGGAAGGGACACGAGCTGCAGCCATTACACGGACTTTCACTGGCACGACCAGGCGGCTTATCAGGTAAAACACTTTTAAATTATGTGTTGCGTTCTTTATTTTGCGTATGTACTACACGTATCAGGTGAGTTACTCCTATGTGTTACGTTTTCCGGGTATGTAACATAGGGTAAGGCACATTGGGAGGTACACGAGCTGCAGCCACTACACGGACTTTCCCTGGCACGATCAGGCGACCTGTCAGGTGAGTTTCTGTATAATTGTGTATTCAATTTTTTGTATTTTTTTGCATGTCATATACACTTGCATGCGTCAAGATATACCTCTTTTCTTCCGTTTTCCTCATTCCCCTCCCCCCTTTCCTCACTTTGCTCAACTGTGTTTGCCTCCTCCTTCCACCCCCGCTTTAACCCCTCCTCCCCCCCCGCTTTCCCGTGCCCTGCAGGTTAACCCCTCCTCCCCCCCCGCTTTCCCGTGCCCTGCAGGTTAACCCCTCCTCCCCCCCCGCTTTCCCGTGCCCTGCAGGTTAACCCCTCCCCCCCCCCGCTTTCCCGTGCCCTGCAGGTTAACCCCTCCCCCCCCCCCGCTTTCCCGTGCCCTGCAGGTGTTTCGCCTGAGTAACGTGTTTATAAACGACGATGGCAACGTGTTCAACTCAACCACTCTCTTCAACAAGGGCGACTGCAACGGACATCTAAATGTAAGAAGTGTAAATAAAAGGTGTTTACTTGTAACACGTTTATCCATGTAACGACACGGCTTGAAGGGAATGTGCCCATAAATAACGATGGCAACGTTATCAATGCAACCACTCTCTTCAACAAGGGTGACTGCAACGGACACCTCAATGTAAGTTGTATGAACGTACATAATATGTAGGTACATGTAACACATATGTGCATATAACGGTGAGGCTTGAGCCATGTCATGCACCCTGTCTGTCATCCCTCTTTCCCCGCAGCCAGTTCTCTTTCAAGGCATGCCACACTTAGGCGCATCACCTACGGACAAAGCAGTCTCCCTCGTCTATCGCCAGGCCGACGCCTCGTCATCATTGATCGGCAGAGGCATCTGGCACCCGGCACCCGGCCTTGATGTCTACCATTGGAGTCATAGCACCCGGCCTTACTGTCACGCTCCCTGATCCCTCTCTTTTTGAGTCGACTCAAAAGCGACCCTAATGTCACGCTCGCTGATCCCTCTCGTTCCCCGCCACCAGTTCTCTTTCAAGGGGGGAAGACTCAAGTGCACCATGTTGAGACAGCCATTTCTCTGCTGCCTCTCCGCCAGGCTGACGCCTTCTACCACGGCTTTGTCGAGTGGCAGCCTTCCCCCCTCTTCCCCTTCCCTCCAGATTTCCTTCAGGGCCGGATTGACTCGATTGACTCCATTGACTCGATTGACTCGAGTGACTCGAGTGACTCGAGTGCATTATGTTCACAGAGCTATATCCCTCGTCTACCGCCAGGCCGCCGCCTTCTACCACGGCTTCATCGAGTGGCAGCTACACCCTCCACCCTTTTCCCCCTCTTCCTCCTCCCACTCTCCCTCCCTTCCAACACACCAGTTCTCTTTCAGGACAGAAGGACTCGAGTGCATTATGTGGATAGGCCATTTCTCTGGTGTTCCGCCAGGCCGACGCTTTCTACCACGGTTTCATCGAATGGCAGCCTACTCTGTGCCCTTGTCTTCCTAATCAGTTCTCTTTCAAAGCGGGAAAGACCCGAGTGCACCACATGCAGAGAGCCGTATCCTATCCTCCACCCCTTTCCCCCTCTTTGCCCCCCCACACCAGTTCTCTTTCGGGGCTAGAAAGACCCGAGTGCACCACGTGCAGAGAGCCGTATCCATCGTCTACCGTCAGGCCGACGCCTTCTACCACGGCTTCATCGAGTGGCAGCCGACCTTCTATATCCTGCGAGCCGTGCTCGCTGCTCACCCCGACATCCCCCTGCTAGCCCGGCCCTCCCAGGTAGGGTCTTCTCGGACCCGGCCCTCCCAGGTAGGGTCTTCTCGGACCTGCCCCTCCCAGGTGAGTTGAATGACTTGTGCAACAGGCAGCTGTATATATTGGTGTACAGCCTACCGCCACTGGCTTCATTGAGCTGTCCTCGCTGCTCACCGCGACACCCCACTGCTAGCCTTGGTTTTCCAGGTAAGCAAGTGCGCTGTGTCCGGCCTTCTACCACGGTTTCATCGAGTGGCAGCCAGCCTTCTATATTCTGCAAGCCGTGCTCGCTGCTCACCCTGGCATCCCGCTCTTCTAGCACGCCCGTCACAGGTGGGATAAAAGTGTAGGCACATACCGACTTCCAACCTTTCTATCACATGCTCCTTTCGATTCTAATGATGCAGCGGCTCATCTTCCCCCCCTCTTCCCCCTCCCCCTTCCCCCCCTCTTCCCCCTCCCCCTTCCCTCCCCCTTCCCCCCCTCTTCCCCCTCCCCCTTCCCCCCCTCTTCCCCCTCCCCCTTCCCCCCCTCAAAACCTTTCCCCACTCTGGCTTCATCCCTTCTTCTCCCCAGTCCTTTTCCCGGGTTAAGTAATTCAGGTCTGTTCTGAGATGTCTCAAAACTTAACTACTTAACCACGCACTATCCCTTGTTTTCTATTGCTTCTCTCCCTTATTTTCCCAGTGGTGCTTCTACCAGCGCGCCATCCAACACCTAGTGGGGATCAGCACCGGAAGTGTAAGGAGTCTGCAATGAAAATTTCTGCATTTGAACCCCCCTCGCCCCCGTCTCCCCTCAACCCCCCACCTTTTCCCACTCTCTCTCTCCTAAATCTCTCCCCAGTGGCGCTTCTACCATCGCACCATCCAGCAACTAGTGGGGGTCAGCACCAGAGCAATGAGACGCCTAGCCATCCCCGAGGGCGATCTCTTCAACATAGAGGAGCTCGACCAGCCGCTCTACCAGGGCTGCTGGAATGAATGCACCTTGCCTGTGACTTGATTCCCCTACCTTTTCTTTTAAAATCCCCTTCCCCTCCCTTTTCAGTGGCGCTTCTACCATCGCACCATCCAATACTTTGTCGGAGTCAGAACCAAAGCCATGCGCCGTCTAGCCATTCCCGAGGGCGATCTCTTCCATGTGGGGGAGCTTTACCTGCCGCTCTACCAGAGCTGTGGGAATCCCTCTCCTGCCATCTGGCGCACCCTTCGTTACAATCACCTCCTGCTTCCTAATGGGTTACCGTACTTTTATAGTGACAGGTGGCAGCTGCGCAGCGTGCCACATGGTGGTGATTCTTCAGAGATTTTCTCAGGCAGCCCTGCTGACGGGCTGGGTAATGCAAGCGTGGGATTCGGAGGGCGGGGAAATTTGTCGAAGGTTTTTCCGCTGCCCAGGGATTGGATTGTGGTGGTGGTGCAGCGGCTTGGGGCCAAGGGCAGGACGATGAAGCAGTTCAGGCAGCTGCTGGGGGCAGTGGAGAAACTTTTCGGGGCGGGCAGAGTCCGAATATTCAACGGCACTCAGAGTGTCTATGAAAGTAAGTTCAAGTACTTGCCAAGTGCAGTCCATGCCTCCATTGGGAAAAATGGAGGTAACATCAGTTCTTTCCTCCATTTGTCTAAGGTTTTTCCTGGCAACAGCTTGCCCCACCTTCTGTTTCTCCCCCCTCTCCCACCCCCTCTTTCCCCCCACTCCTCCCTTTCTGTTCATTCCTCGTCTTTTTCTCTCTGACTTTCCCCTTTGCCAGCTCGTGATCTTTTCAGCAAGGCCCGTCTTCTGGTGGCTGGGCATGGGGCGGGGATGTCCCATATGATCTTTATGCCGCCCAACGGTACAGTACTGGAGATTCGCCCGGATACGTATGATAACGCCTGCTTTCATCATCTTTCACATGCCTGCGATTTGAATTACTATCTTGTTTTTGGGAAGGGTGCCCGGCTGAAGCCTTTGACGTTTGATAAGCAGAAAGTGGTGAAGGTCTTGAGACAAATAAAGCAGAGCTTCGGACATCCTCGTTATTGGTAGCCATCGTTTATACACCATTTTCCCTGAGTTGAGTTGAGACTGTCGCCCCTCAGATTTCAGGATTTTTTCCCTGATTTTGCTGATTTTCAGGGTTTTTTTCTGTACCTACCTTGAAAAATCGGCGTTCGAATCTGACAAAACGGGGCTAACTAGTAAAAAAAAACAGTACCAACCCTGAATTTCAGAGTGTTTTCAGGGTGCCTTTGTGTACCAACCCTGAAAAATTAGTGTGGCCTAAAACGATTCTGAAGGTACCTGCTGGGGTTCCTAGTGGAAAGGCCACAGGTGCAGAGCTTGGGGGGCTATGGGCGCACTGACCACTGTGTTACACATGCTCATGTGAAAACATGCTCACCACCTTGCGCATTATCTGTCCTGTCACATGGGTTGTCACAGCAAAGCATTTTCAGCGTAGTGGTACGCGAGCTTCGGTTTCTATACATCAGTATTGGTGTAGGCACTCGCAACCCACTTCTAACATGCACTGATTGGTCGTCATATGCTCATCATCATGAAGGGTCTCATTTCTCAGGTGTATGCCAGGTGGCCTGGCTATGTTCGTCTATACAGCAACATCCGCCTACAATCATTGAATGCACGTAGTCCGTCTGGGAGGCTGTAATAAGTCGTGCAGGGACAATGCACGATGACAACCATTCAATGCAGTACACCCTCCTTACATGTACACAATATGGATAGGCTCTTCTTAGACGAGCCTGGAATCCAAGGTTGGTGCTGAAGCGGAGTTACCTAGCTGGAACATCAATCCAGCCATTGGCAAAGGCAATCCCTAGGATTATGAAGGGTGTCAGGAGCCCAAAAATGGCAATGTAGGGAAGGACTGTGCTCATTGGCCCTTTTCCCTCCCTCTCAGACGATGTCTGCCAATACCTGCGGGAATGGGCAAGAACAAGACGAGCGCGAAAAACACAAAGAGCATGAATGGCTGATAGGGAAGTTGGATACCTCGTGATTTCTTGCAGGATTACATACACTGTCCACCTGACCTTTGAGTCGACTCAAGGTCACCTTTTGAGTCGACTCAAGGTCACCTTTTGAGTCGACTCAGAAGTGTTGCATGATTCCGAATGGCACTGTCCGTCTGTTCAGCAGCGGAACAAACAATTTTAGGACCTGCTCGGCAACATTGACACTTCTGAGCATATCTGTTGGGTAGGAAAACTTACTCATCGGGCTCTTCTTCTTGGGTGATGAATTTCTTCTTTTCAGTCTTGCCGTCTTCACCTGGCAAAAGCACCGAGCTCGTGAAGAAAAAATCAGTTTTAAGCAGGAAACGAACAGCCGCGGATTGTTTGGAGGCGGAGATGCGCGTGAGAACGTGAGAGGAGTGATGCGGACGGGGTGTTACTGAGAATTCTCAAACGAGGAGGCAGCATCAAACCAATCCTCATCCGAAATGGAAACTGTGTTATCTTTTGGCGGGCCATACCTCCGCTGAACATTGCGTTGATCTGGTTCGGTCTTCTCGAGGCTGCCGGGTATTGGAGCTTCACGGACGGAAGCCGCCGAGCCACGAAGGAGGTAGAGGCGTTGAGTGACCTTCTCGCCGAAGTTTCGCACTTGAGGACGGCGGAAGTTGGTGCAGAAATGCTGGCGAAAGTGGCGGACGCCATCGAAACTAGGTGGAAAGTACAGGTATTGCCGAAAAACACTGCAGCCGCAGCCTGCACGCTCCTCTAGCAAGCACAAAACGACCTCCAGATGAGTCTAAATGCTAGGGAGTTCGGCAACGTCAGGGTCTTCAGGTGTAGAACACCTTCAGCAATAACAGGGCAGGATGACACAGGCTGTGGAGAACAATCGTACTATCTGCTGACTTCTCAAAATGTAGATTCCAAGTTTCCCCTTGCGGCTGTGACGACTTGGGTAGATTTCTGGCGATCCGTCGCACGGGCCTCTGAAGACGTCACCATATCCAGCAAGGCGATCTCTGCTGGTAAAAACTGGTGACGCGTCAGAGATCTGAATGGTTGTTCCCAGGCAACTTCCGCACGTCGTTCCACGTCGCAAAGCACTGATGATGTGGCGATGGAACTTACGTCAGTGCAAGCCTGAATGGCGTCAGCGTTGGTGGGCTGCCTATTGCGAAGCTGCCTGAATCTCGTGTGAGCGTCGTGGAGCTTCGAGAGCCTCTGCGATGGTATCGTCATCGTGCACCATCAATTGAAGAATTCGTTATTGAATCAAGTCCGAAAAACGTAATCTACCGGTACTCCTATGTAAACCAATGATTCTTTGACCGTTTAAATGAAGTGAGAACCGTGCTTTTAAAAAAATGGTACAACCAAACACCTCCACGCAATGGAGATGGAAAAATGTGTACTGAGCACTCGTGGTACTCAGGATATTGCAACTGACTCAGGGCTTCAGGAGTTGAAGAGAAGCTCCTCAACATGTAGCCTTTTCATCTGCACGAGGAAGTTCATTTCCTCCCACAGAAAAGACATGCGTCCAGCTGAATCAACCAGCAGGGCACCATTCACCCACTGAGGGTTCTTAAAATTGTAGTCTGCTATTCTCCCCTCCCCTTCCAATCTGCCAAGAATCAGATCGAGCAGGATAGGAAACAGACACGCATGAGCCACAGTTGCAGAGGGAATGGCACACTGCAGATGCCTAAAAAGGTACAGACAGAGTGATCAACTGGGATTGCACCAAGCAAGGAATGGGCACTGATGCAAATAGCAACCAAAAGAATCCAAACCCAGACAACGCAGCGCTGATACTCACAAGTTCGTGTACCGGGGCTGGTGTTGTCCCAGAGCACCATCTGCCGCTTGACCTTGCCCCTGGATCAGACTCCTTGCTTGCCCCACCACTTCACTCCACCGCTCACTCTCATCCGCAGCAGTTTGAACAGAGTCAATTCGAGCCTTGAAGGAGACATGCCCCCCTGGAATATTGGGATCTCCAACAATTTTCGTTGCAATAATTTCCCCGCCCCGTACTGCCACGTTCAGAATTTCCACCCCATGATGCCCGAACACGCCCGTCCAGAGGCCCTCCAAATCCCGGACCCAGCTGGGCAAACGAGATCTGGACAAATCCATTCCCGAGGAATTTCCTCCTGGCGAAGACTCCCCCGTTACAGCCTCTCCCGCAACAGGAACTCTGTGATAAGTAGATTTCGGCACAGGCACTCTTCTCGTCTGCCCGTCTGTCGTTTCTGACGGCTGCTGGCTCCCTTTCTGCTGCCCGAACACATTTCCCCCCCAACCGCGCATAACACCCTTTCCGCTGGAACTTCCGCCAATCCCCACTTCCCCTCCGCCAGCCCCCAGGCGTGCGCCACGGCTGTGTGACTCGTCCGCGTACTGAAGCGCGCCGATAGATCTGCGCTTCAGCGACCACTCCGCGCTGCTAGCGGAAGGAACGGAAACCGCAGCAGAAGCTCCCGCGGAAGAACCGGCGGAAGCTGAAAAATCCACTCGCGGGGCGGAAGGCGGAGCCCTCGTCGGAATGGCGTGCGCGGGCCTAGAGCACCTCATAGCTCCATGACTAAGCGCCACGTCACGACTGCCAGTAATCGGTGTGTCTCTTGGAGGTTCCACCCGCGACCGTAATCTCCTGGCTTCATCAGGCGAGGCCTCGGTACTGTCACACCCGGATCGAGGACGCTTGGATGGAGCCGCCGCTTCCTTCGAAGCGCTCCCGGAATCTCGTTTCAATCCGGTCAGGTATCGCAGAGCGCGAAGCTGAAGCCGCTTCGAGCTTGATCCCTCCTTTCCCGTGCTACAAACGAATCCCGCTCTATGGAGGGCAGCATCGCCGATACTTGGTCCGGACCTCGAAAGCAAGGTCCCGTCGTCGTTGCTGCCCGCAGATCTGCTCGAGGGAGGGCGCGGGGGCAAAGTAGGCACGGCTGCGCGGACAGGGGGGGAGTAACGGCAGGTCCCCGGGGAATGGCGGAGTGGGGGACGGCTGTAGCGGTGGGGGAATGGCTGAGGCGGGTACGGCTGTAGCGGCAAACCGGCCCAGGCCAGCCCGCTGAAACGTCGCCTTTAGCCTCGCCGCAGCCCCCAGCGACGACAACGACGACAGCGACGACGACGACGGCCCGGCGACGACGCTCTTCAGCGACGTCGCAGGCGACACGCGCGACGACGACGACGACAGGTCTCCGGGGACCGACGAAGGCGGAACTCTCGCGAAAGGCGCGGCGGCGATGCTCGCGGGGGAGCGGGCGGAGGGCGGAAGAAGCGTCTGCAGGTGGAACTTGGCTCGCGCGGGGGACTCCCAGACGAGCACCCCGGGGAGCTCGAGCGGGTACTCGTCGTCCACCCCGCGCCCCGTGACCAGGCTGAGCTGCGTCGTGCCGTCGGGAAACGCGGAGATCGTGAAGAGGCGCGCGGAAATGAGATTGCCGTCTGCGGGGGATCGGGGGGGAAGGGCGGGGGGGGGGGGAAAGAGGGGTAGTTGGTGAAAAGGGGGGAGGGGGGAGGGGGAAGGGCGGAACGGGAAGGGGAGGGGTTGGGGGGGGGATGCAAGGCGGAATCAAGAGAACGAGAATTGAAGCAGGCATGCGGCAGGGCATGGATGAGGGAACTAATAAAGCCGACTAACACACTCACCTAGCCAATCGGGGATGATTCGATAAGCGACGACAGCCATGCGCTCCCAGGTCACATATAGCAGCCCGCCGCGGGGCGCTAGATCCTCCGCCGCCCACACCCCCACGAGCGGGCTCAAACAGTGTAACAGGCGAAAGAGGCATTTCGCCGAGTTCGCCTGCACGAGCCACTCGCTGAGCGCCAGCTGGCCCTCCCACTTCCGGCAGAGGTTCAGCCACGTGTTCGGCTGGTCGATGAGTCCGTTCAGGGTGCGACACGTCAGCGAGGCGGCGACGAGATCCCGGGGTTTCAAGCGGTGGAGAATGGTGCAGATGGTGTCGAGGGGTAGGTCTAGGAGCCCGGCAGGGGTGGTGGTAGGGGTGGTGGTAGGGGTGGTGGTAGTGGTGGTGATGCTATTCATGCAGTGCTGGTCAGTTGTAGATGTGGTGTTGGGGTACGCTGAGATCGTCATGGTCGCGTGTTCGAA